CAATTCACAATAGCCACGCTATGGAACCAGCCTAGATGTCCATTAATGTATAAAGAAAATGTGGTATATATGCAAAGTGGAGTTTTAGTCAAAAAAATAAGAATGGAATTATGTCATCTGTAAGGAAATGGATGGAATTAGAGAACACCATATTAAATGAAATAAGACAGACTCAGAAAGTAAAGAATCCTGTGTTGTTTTAGTCAGCTTTTTCACTGCTGTGACTAAAAGATCTGACCAGAACAATTTTAGGAGAGGAAAAGTTTATTTGGGAGCTCAATGTTTCAGAGGTCTCAGTCCAAAATTAGCCCACTCCATTCTTTGGGACTCAAGTTGAAACAGAACATCATGGCAGAGTGTGTGGCAGAGGGAAGCAGCTCACATGATGATAAGAGAGCAGAGAGAAAAAGAGAGAGACTCCACTAGCCTCATACAAAATATATACTCCAAAGTCATACTCCTAATGCCCCACCCCCTCCAGCCATACCCAACCTGTCTTCAGTCACCATTCAATTAATCCCATCAGGGATTGGTTCACTGATTAGGTTGAGGATGTAGCCCAGTCATTTCTCCTCCAAACCTTCTTGCATTGCCTCACATTTGAGCTTTTGCCCTCACATACAAACCATAACATACGTTTTTCTCTCATATGTGGAAGTTAGAGAAAAAAGTGGGGGAAAGTGATAACTTGAAAAAAGAAGGTAGACTAGTAGAGGAAGGAGGAGGGGAGGAAAAGGGGAGATGAAATTGACCAAATTGTTATGTGCATGTATGAAGATATCACAATGAATCCCACCATTATGTATGATTAGTGTTAGTCAGCTTTTTGTCACTGTGGTCAAAATGCTGACTGGAATAACTTAAAGGAGAAGTTTATTTGGCTAACAATTTCAGAAATTTAGTTCATGGTTGGCTGAGTCCACTGCTCTTGGCCCCAGTAAGACAGAACATAAAGAGGAAGGGCATGGCGGAGGGAAACTGCTCAGGACTTTGTTGTCAGGAAGTAAGGTGAGTAGGGGAAGGGATGCAGGAAAGAACCCTTCAAGGACACTGATCCCAGTGACCTACCACCTCCAGCCATGCCTCACCTGTGAATAGTTATCACCCAGTTACTTCATTTAAACTAGGTTAGACTAAAAAGGTTACAGCTTTCATAATACAATCATTTAACCACCAAATACTCCTGGATTAACACAGAAGCTTTTGGGGGAAATCTCAGATTCAAACCAGAACAAAGTATAATACACCCATAAAAATTAAATAATAGTTGACAGAAATAGACTCCACAATTACAAAGGGAGAGTTAACACATAATAAAATTCCAGTAATTACCATAACAAGTACATACAGATACATACACACAAACCATTAAGGGAAAAGATTTTAACAACAGCATTAACAAACTTTACTTAATAGACACATATAAAGCATCATACCCCCAATATTACCCCCCCACACACACACACAAACACACACACACACACAAAGAGGATAAAAAAAAAGTAACTATACACAAGGCAAGTACTAACAAGTTCCAATGATCATTCAATTAAAAACATTTTGACGGTAGTTACACAGTGGCTCACTTTTCATTTACTCATCAAACTGTCCATATATCTTATATACTTCACATGAGCTATATTTCACAATAATTTTTCAAATGGTAATTGATCTATACCATTTATGTACATACTCATCTATTTTTTCTTTTCAGGTTTTCAAAACTTATTCCACAGCAAAAAAAAAAAAAAAATCTTCAAGAAAAAAAGATGAAGGAGTCAGTATGCTTCAACAGGAAGCAATTAAGCAAGATTCAAGATTCAAAGTTCCATTAAAATGAACCCTGACATACTCTAGTAGATTTTAAAACTTATAAATCCAAGCATATTGAAAGCATTCTCAAAGCAATATTTGTACATAATCAAATCATCCTAGTGCAGAACTGCAAATAACCAGATGCTGTCTGTCTGTATACAACTGAAATAGTACAAATCTAAATTAAAATACTTTCAATATTGACAATATCAGAACCAGAAGCACTTACACCATTGGCCAAAAGCAGTTCTGTGGTAAATTTGTCCCATTAGCCATCCATTTTAGTCAAATACCAAACCAACCAATGATTCAAAGTAATCATTAATGTTGCCAACTTAGAGATAAAATTAAACTTTATAAATAGGGGATTTATAGTTAAATGGTTAAAATTTAACATTTCAGGATATAAAAATAACATATACTCAAACATATCTAAAGTGATACATGCCAGGTATGCCCATAGTCCTTGCTACTTGGGAGGCTGAGGCAAAACTGCGTGAGCCCAGTTGTTGTCCAGGTTGATTAACAGAAAGAGGCCTACCTCAAAAACAAAAACTAAACCCTAAACAGATTTAAACCATAGTCTTAAAAATATCAAGTGAACTATATTAGAATTTTTTTCTAAAATTAATAAAAAGTAGTGCATTAGTTATCTATTGCTAACACATTATCTCACCCAGAATTTTATGTAAGAAAAGTTTAAGGAACACAATCCCTTGGTGGTAGAAGGTGGTAACTGTCTCAAATCTGTATCTGTTTAACAATCAAGAAAGACTGGCCTGCAATTCCAGCAGTTCAGGAGGCTGAAACAGGAGGATCACAAATTCAAGGCCAGTTGAGCAATTAAGGGAGGCCTTAAGCAACTTAGTGAGACCCAGTCACAAAATAAAAAACAAAAGGGCTGGGATACAGCTCAATGGTAAAGAACCTCTATGTTAAATCTCTAGAATCTGCCCTCCCCCCAAAAAAAAAGAAGAAAGAAAAACTTATTTATCCATATCAAAGAACACTGATAGTGATTATTCCCAAATCTCATTAATTTGAACATGTCTAAATATATACTAAATTCACTTCTATAAACTACCTAAAAATAGAAAGTGTTAGCTGAAAATATTAACTTAGATAGTATTCAAAGGAAATTTTTGGTGGTACTGAGTAAAAAGGAGGGAGTTTAGGTTATGAGATGCATTTAAGGAAGAGAAGACCTTCATCCTAAGCTGGGTGAGTATCACAGTGGGAACTTCAGGGACCAAACCTTTGACTATTGCTTCTCATATCATGAATACATTCAATCAGGTAGAAAAATTTAATCAAACCATTTCAAGAAGAGCAATATTTAACTCAAACTATCACCAAAGCATATTATACATTTTTAATAATTTTATTCAAAGTGTCCCAAGCTGTTTGGATATCATCCTTTACTTTTCTAGTCTTTTTTCAATATCAAAGAAAGAGTTTATTTCTTTTCTCAGTTTTAATTTTCTTTTGTTCTTCAGATTTAAAGGGACAAAGAAGGTAGGAGCCATAAGAAAGTTCAGAAATCCAAATTGGTCTCTTTAGACATAAAACTGATGAAAAGCAAAGACTGTTTACAGACTTTAAATTCAACTCCAAAACACTGTAGCATATGTTGCTTAAATATTATGTATTTTTACTTGTCCAGCATTGCTCATGTCAGCTATTGATTTCACCAACAATCCATGGGCAAGGGGTTGAACACAATTTTTCAATAGAACAAGGGGTCACCAACTGAGACCTAAAGCCCAGATCCAGCCGACATACTGTGCTAACGTAATTAATTAGGAGGCCATTAGGCAGTGATGGCTCCAAAGCCTTGGTTCCTATGTAAGGAAAATCAAACCCAACTCAATGGAAGCAATAAAATAAAATTTAAGTTTAACCAATGGAAATTACCAACTAAGCAGTAGTGGCACACACTTATAATCCCAGCTACTGGAGAGGCTGAGGCAGGAGGAATGCAAGTTCAAAACAAGCCTGGGCACCTTGGCAAGACTTTGTGTGAAAATAAAATTTGAAGAGCTAGGGATGTTACTCAGATATTCGCTTAGCATGCACAAGGTCCTGGGTTCCTGGGTTAAATCCACAGTATCAAAAAAAAAAAAAAAAAAAAAAAAAAAAAAAAAAAAAAAAAAAAAAAAAAAAAAAAAAAAAAAAAAAAAAAAAAAAAAAAAAAGAAGAAAAAGAAAAAGAAGAAAAAACTACCAACAAACCTCTTACTAGAGACTTTCTACTTTGACCAATCAAAAACTTGCCTTGCCTGGCTGCTTCCTCTAACACTTTATAAACGTTTTCCTACTTGAAATCTGGTGCTGCCCCATTCATGAATTCCTGAAAGCTCAAATAGACTAGAATTTTAGTGTGTCTACTTTATCTTTTTTTTTTTACATTTATCTTTTAATAACTGTTTTTGTACAGTCTTTGAGTTTGGAATGGTTTTTATATTTTTAAAGGGCTGGAAAGGAAGGAAGGGAAGGATGCATGAAAAAAGGGAGGGAAATAAAAAAAAGAATGAAGAATATGCAACAGAGACTGTTTTATGCCTGGAAAACCTAAAAATAAATCAGTAGTCCTAGCTTTGTATGGTACTGCACTAACACAAACTTCAAAGTGAGGATTGACTATATTTAATATCTCGCCTTTTACAGAAGTAGAGAATATGCAAATGATCAATAAATACATAAAGAGATGTGCAATAATATTAGGTCATTAGGAAAATTAGGGGGAAAACCCAATGTAATATCAATATATATCTACCAATGTGAGGTGTTATAAATATTTGGGGACAAAAGAATTCTCATACACTGCTAATGGGAATGCAAATTAACACAATTTGAAACACTTTTTGGTGGTATATTCCATAAACACACATCTGCATAGGCTATAACAGCCATTTTACTACTAAATATATACCCAAAAGAAAGTATACATAAATTCACCAAAATACTTATAAAACCTCATAACAACCCTTTTGGTAGTAACCTAAAACTGAATGTAATAATATGCAATATGAAAATGAAAAAACTACTGCTATTTCACCCATATAAATCTCACAAATATAAAACTGAGGTGAAGCCAGACTCGGAGGACTATATACTATATAAATTTTTAAATATAAAGTCAATAATAGCTGAAACTCAAATGTTAGAAGTTGAGATAATGGTTACCTTTGCTAAGCTGGCACCACAAAGTAGGGCTTCTGGGATGCATGTACTGTTTAAGGTTCTTTCTTGATCTAGGTACTGGAGACAGGGGTGTGTACACTCTGAAATTCAATGAGTTGTACACATATGATTCAGACACTTCTATGTTTATCATACTTTTTAAAAACAAACACAGAATTTCTATGAACTCCATGCCTTTCAAGGAAAATTGTGTACATCTCCATTCCCTTTTCTGATTTGCCATCATTACCTCTCTCCAATTAGACAACTTTTACTACTCCACATAGAAAAATTGGCTTTGTTTTAATTAATTTTACTAATGTACTATTGCACATGATTCCCCATGACTATATAACTGTCACTTTAGGTTAGTTCCATCCCAGACCCAAAGAGGAAACTTTACAAAGAATAACTTGTAATAGTATGTTAAAGTTATATAGTAAAGAAAAAAGAACCTGCTTGAAATGCAGTTTTATTTGACCACTTGTGTTGGCTTACCTTTATCTACTGCTGTGATTCAACCCCCATAAAATGCTCAAGGAGCTTTTCAAAAAGCCTGTTCTTGAGGAAAGTTGTTCCTTTCCACCATCCCTGTCTAATCATGAGTCAATCTTGTGTTTATCCAATTCCTTCCATCCACAAGGCTTAAAGTACTTCGCAAATATTGCCGGGTGGTGTCACCTTCCAGTTAAATAAATATGGGCCCTCGGACGTCGTAACCCAAAAGAACTTTAACAGTATCTTTGTACAGCATGGCTCAGCACACTTAAAAAAAAAGCACCAGATTGTATTCTTACTCACAACTTACAATAGTGAGAACCAAAATATAAAACGATTCAAGTGCCTGTCAAGGGCGCAGAGTAGATCAGAGGCTGAACCCAGAGGACTAGAACCCTCTAACTCCCAGGGGCTTAAGGGAAAAGCAAGCAAAACCCCTACACTTTTGAATAAATGCTCAGCTGCTGAAGTCCTGTAATAGCAAAGAAAGAGTTGTCTGTCACCTGAGAATCCCAGGACGCTGACCTCTGAGGGTGCCCCATCACTCCTGGGCACACGGGGCCAGCATTCACTGGGTGCGGATTCCGCGCGGCCCCTTCAGTTTCTCCAAGGAAGCTGCGGCCGGAAATTCCAAGGCTGGTTTCTGCCCACCCCGATCAGTCTCCAGTCGCCCAAACCTCCCCTCCACCCGGTTTACCTGGGATGCGCTAGGCATCACTCTGGGAGCCGACTGGGAGCACTCTCTCACAGAGTTTCTCAGGCCGGATGCGCAACTACCGCGTCAGTCAAAGCCACGGACTCAGCGGCTCGGCCCGAAGGCGCGCGACCCCAAATGATCCAGCGGGGCGGGGCGCCGGAGGAAAATCGAGCCTGCCGCACGCCGCGCGCGAGGGCCCGCAGAGACCGAGGCGGTGCGCACCGGGCATGCGCGAGCCGCGCCGCCGGGGCGCGGGGCGGGGCCTCTCTGCAAGCGAGAAAGCTTGGCAAGTCCTCTCAGGAGCCGCGAGAGGACGGAAGGCGGGCCAACTGTGGTTGTGGGGTCTAAGACCACTGGTGCGTTCCGGAACAGCAAAATAGTTCCCCGACAAAACCTAATCTGGTTGGAGGAAGGTGTAGGGAGGCTTAGGAAGACTTGGCGGAATTGTGTGGTTGTGTGTGTGGCTGGAGGAGAGAGAGTGTGGGAATAGAGAGTGTGGTGGAGGGGCCGGGCCTGTAGCGCAGTGAAGGTCGAATGAAAAGGGTACAGGCGAGCAAAAGTGACACCTAGGCCCTCTCCAAAAAATGCTTCAGGCTAAAATTTTGGAGCTGGTGACTTTTTTAAGTCCTGGAAGGAAATCTGAATTTTCACATTATGTGGATTCACAGAATGTTGAGCCTTTCAGAATTTAATAAAACAACAACAAAAAACAATTCGCCCACCACTCTGTTGAAACAATAGAAAGCCAAAGATGTCTTTAATTGTAGAATAATATTAAGAGTTTTATCAGGACCCATAAAATGAGCCGGTAGTGATTCAAAAGTGTTCCACAAATCAGAATTGCAATTATAAATATCTCTTTAACTCCTGTTACTCATTAATCTGTTGGACACACAAGTATTTATTCAGAACATACTATGTGCCAGGCACTATTTGGGTTCCTGGATAAAGATTTTTTTTTTTTTACACATCCCCAGAGAATAGGGATAATATAAAGTGTTGGTGGACCCCCAAGTTAGTGGTTAAATTTAATAAGAGGAACTTAGACTTTAGTAACTGTAAAAACCGTGTAAAGGGTTGGACCAAAAGAGGTTAAAATACATAATGTTGTTATTTATATGGTAAAGAATAAACAGTACTCTGGAGGGGTTTGTTATAGATTCAGCCTTGAAATGTTTTGTTTTTTGTTTTTGTTTTGGCTTTACATCTGGATTCAATCAGATATTTGTGGACACAATCATAAATATTTTGAGACAAAAAAGAGGGGCTGTAAGTTTGTCAGAACAGAGACTCCAATCAAAAAGGATATTATAATCAGGAAAAATTACTTGAAGTAATGGTTAGTGCCAAATCAAATGATGTGTAATTAAAGGAGGGAAAGTTTCTTTTCTTACTTAAAGAAATGAGAGGGCCAAGGACTACAAAATTGAGAAAATTGACACCAAATAATAAATTAGGATGAATTTAGATAAAGTGATAATAGCTTTTGTTGAGTAAAGATTCATTTTGCCTCAGTTTTTGAAGCCCATTTTCTGAATTTCTAAAATCTCCAGAGTAAAGAAAAAAATCTGTTTTCTTCAGTAACCTGTTGTTTTTTTCCTTCTCTCTCTTTTATGTAATGAGTTCAAACTTTAGACCTAATTCTCCCTTATCCCATTTCCAATTTAGGTATTCATTAATGCTCTTTCTGCAACTTTTTATACCACAATAGGTAATTTTTCCCCACTCCTCTCCACTACTACCCCTATCCACATACACACATTTCTTCATTCTCCATCCTGCTAAGAGTTATCTGAAAAATAGCTTTGGATGACTTTGGGTGAGGAATTTTAAAGTATGAGAAGGACAGAATCAAGGAAAACTGGAGGAGTTAATGTCTCACTCTTCTTTAAGCATGGATAGAACTTAGCAAGGCAAAAAGGGAGTAAAGGTGCAGAGAAAATAGAATTCTTTGTAGAGGAATCAATATGGAGATAAGATACTTTTGGTAATTGTAAGCACTTTAGGATTACTACAATATGGAATTCAAGATGAAAAATGGTGGAAAATGAGGTTGTAGAGATTATGAAGTATTTCATTTTAGTACTCTGGTTTGATTCTATAGTTAATAGGAATTAAAAATTAAAGGTAATGATATAGTTAGATTTGTACTTTAGACAAATCATCAATTTGGAAGATATATTTCATAATCAAAATTCCCATGGTAGCAAGCCTATTTAATCCAAGGTAAAAATGATAAAATGTATGCAGTAGGGCACGATAAATGGAAAAGGATGAATTGAAGAAGTAGAAAATAAAGTTTGAAGATTTTAATAACAACTGAGAAAGAGGGAGTTCATAGAAGAATGAATGAATAAGAAAGTTAATTTTTGGACAGAATGAATTTGAGTCATTGGGAAATTTAAGGGGAGTTCTTCAGCAGTCAGATGTACAATTTCATATGTAAGGATGTGTTCTGGACTGGCCTGGAGATAAAAATATTAATAATTAACAGCAATTGTTAAAGCTACTATTAAAATTTTGAAATTCAGTCCCATAGCATTCTTATCTATCATGTAATCCTTTTATAAATCACCTGTCTAAAGATCATGATTCATTTTTTTAACTGACTTTTTGTTTTTAAATGCAATACTGGGATTGAACCCAGGGCCTTTCACCTGTCAGGTAAGCACTCTACCACTGAGTGATACTCCAACCCCAACAGATTTATTTACTTATTTATTTTGGTGGTAGTGGGAATAGACTTATTTTTTAAAGCAGTTTTAGGTTTACAAAATTGAACAGGTTGTACAGAGTTCTCATATACTCCGCCTTTCCCCATGATTTCCCCTGTTATTAACATCATGCATTGGTATGGTATATTGGTTACAATTGATGAACTAATACTGATATTAAATTAACTAAAGTCCATGGTTTACATTAGGGGTTACTCTTGGTGTTGTATTGTTCTAGGGAGTTCACCAACTGCATTATAATGTGTCCATTATTATAGTATTAGAATAGTTTTACTATTCTAAAACATCCCTGTGCTCCACCTACTTATCTTTCCCTCCCTCCCCTGGAACCCCTGACAGTCCTTTACAACCAGTGATCATTATTATCACTATCATTTGTTTTCCTTTTTCCTGAATGTCATAAAATTGGTATGGTTTGTAGCCTTTTTGGACTGACTTCTTTCACTGATCAATATGCATTTAAGGTTCCCACATGTCTTTTTATGACTTAATAGCATATTTCTTTTTATTGCTGAATAATATTCCATTGTATGAATGTACTAGAGTTTGTTTATCTACTTACTAATTAAAGGACATCTTAGTTTCTTCCAAGTTTTAGCAATTGGGAATAAAGTCACTATGGACATCCATGTGCAAGTATGGACATAAGTATATAATTCATATGGGCAACTACCAAAAGTTCAATTGCTGGATCATATGGCAAGCCTGTGTTTAGTTTATAAGAAACTACCATACTGTCTTTCAGAGTCGCCATACTAATTGCATTCCCACAAATAATTAATAAGAGTTCTTATTGCTCCATACCTCCAGAGGTTTGGGTTTAGGCATTTTCAAAGATTTATGGTGGTATTTCATTTCTTCAAATTCAAAACCCATGAGGCAGACCAAACTTAACATATTCAAAATCAGAAAGATTTTGATCCACAATAGTGTTGGATCAGAATTAGGTGTAAGGCAAAATAGAATAAGACAAATACATAAAGGCATACCATTCTTATAGAACCCAGTAAAGACAATAATAAGTTTGATTTTATTCTTAATGCAACTGTTTTTGGTTAGAACTATTGGATGGATAGTGATCCCATTTCAGAATTAGGAAATATAGGAGGAGAAAGGGTTTAAGGACTACAAGATAGTTTGAGCTATCTATTCCTTTCTTTCTTTCTTTTTTCTTTTTGATACCCAAGTGGAGATATTAGCACAGATAATTTGTTATACAGTTCTGTGCCTCAGGGATGGTTTGATATTTCCATGGTTGGAAATAAGGCTGGTGGAGTCATCAGTGTAGGTACATTAGTGTAGGGCTTGCATATGATTACCAGAGAGGAAAATATAGGTAAACAAAAGAAGAGAGTGGGATCCAGCCCCTGGAGGACTTCAGTCTCTCTATAGGTTAACTAACTGGAGAGGAACATTAGAGAATTATATAATAAAGGAAGAAGAAATCCAGGAAAGTACTGTGTCATAGTAGCCAAGAAGAGACAGTGCCTTAAGAGACTGGTCATTGTTTTCAAATGTTGCTGGAAGTTTCATTAAAGTGAAGGCAAGGAAGTGACCTTTGGACTTTGCAATACAGCTATGATTGGTGACATTGATAAAAAATAGTTTCAGTGAATTGGTCTGATGGAAGATAGTTTAAAGTGGGTTTGAGAGAATGCCAGGTGCAGTTCACATGCCTATAATCCCAGCAGTTTGGGAAGCTGAAGCAGGAGGATCTTGAGTTTAAAACCATCCTCAGCAATTTAGCAATGTGCTAAAGCAACTCAGTGAGACCCTGTCTCTAAATAAAATACAAAATAAGGCTGAGGATGTGGCTCAGTGGTTGAATGGCCCTGAGTTCAATCCCTGGTATCCCTCCACTATCCCCCCACCAAAAAAAAAAAAAAGTGGGTTTGGGAAAAAAATAGGTGGTAAGGACATAGCAAATGCTGCACAGTCAATTCTTTTGATATTTCTGTGATAGACAACAGATAAATGGTATAACAGTATGTTTTCTAAGCAACAGACATTACACCTCTTTTCCTCCCATTAACAAAACTCCAGTTTTATAGCTAGTAAAGATCTATTGCTCTCAAAGAATAACTACCCTGCTCCCTGACTCAAAATTAGTCTCATCCCCTTATATTAACTCTGGGGTTCTTTTCCTGGTAATGGGACTAAGTGTGGCATACTATCTACTTCTAGCTAATGAGAAAGTCAAGTGGAGGACTACCTTTCCAGAATAAACAGAGCCTTGTGAAAAGAAAGGTTCTCTCTCTGACCTTTCTGTTTGGGATGTTGGAATGAAGCCATGACACCTGGCAGCCATCCTGATCATCCAGATGGAGGGTAAAGAGCTAGTATCTTAGAATGACACCTGGAAGAGAAAGGAAAAGATTTGGTTTGTAATGATATTGGTAAGCTGTTGTACC